CTGAATACCATTCATTCGAAAAAACCGTGCTCATTTCTGAGACATTCTCATCTTTCAAATTATTCAAACTCATCAAAAAACAAATATCAGTTACTAATTGGTAACCTAAAAAGTTTCACAGCAAAATTCAGAATCTGTTGACTGCACATTTACTGCATGAAAGTGTGGTATGCAATGGCATACTGGTTAGCAGTTTTGACTGTAATACGGGAGTTGGCAGTTCAATGCCGCCTCAATGCCGTTCGCCGATGATGTCTCATTCATGCGTGTCATCTGATACACTGTGATTAAAAAAGCGTTAAGCGTTTCTCACTGAAGGCGTTATATTATATTTACAATGTGATCCAGTTTTCGTGAGCAGGAGTTCTAGAGAATGTTCTTGTGAATACAGTCACGTGCTAATTGTTTGGAGACTTTTGAAATCTGAACTATTGCGAATTCTTTTGAGTTGGGTAATGAGAAATAAGAGTAGTGTTAAAAATCATACCTATGGATGGTTTGAACTTCGAGTGCAACATCCAGATGATGAAGTGAAGTGCTAACAAGATGAAGATGAAAAACAACTGATCAGTTCATTCATCTATATCACTTCTTGTTGCTTGACAATAAAATTGATGGGCATCAAGTGGAATAGCATAAAACCTGTATCAGAAGTCAGAGAAACTGCACATCATAATGACAAGCAAGTATTTCCAGCAAATCAAGAACTTTTCTGAAAATTTGCTCAAAGCATTCTTGCTTAAAGTTAGTGCCATCATAATGCAAAGATTATGCGCAAGACAACTTAATGTAATGTTGTATAGCCTTATACGGAGAGCGGATAAACTCTAGCTTCTTATAGATTAAAGTCAGCTCTTATAGATTGAATTTCCCTTAGGGAACAGCTGATCGACCGTTCGATTGCATTTGATAAACGGGTCGGGTCATCTGAGCATTTACGATGAGTAAGTTAGTCGGTCAGTGGATCATATATGGACGAGCAGAGCAGATGTACAAGCAGCGCATGCAAGATATCTATCTATCATCCATCCCTATTACACTTGCAGATATCCAGCATCGTCCTAATTTCGCGCTTATGAATCTATCATATATTTATTTCGCAAGCAAATCTTTGTCTTGATTTCGAAATCGCTTTGTTCTGCGATATTGCTTGTGAGTATTTCCCTTCTTCGTCGATTTTCTGTTTAATTTTGAACTGGACCTGTCCGATTGCTACATACATAGACAACATTATCTCGATACAGTATGTTGAGTAGATTTCATCACTTAACTTTACAGTTGTGATGCTAATGCATCAATAATCATATGTATAACTTGGTTCATTCCCACGTTACCGTAATCCTGCTCAACTATTACACTGCTCTTACCTTACCGTTATAATGGTTCATTTCGCTTCGTAGAAACTTTTCCAGGCCAGAATGTTTCACTGAAGGTACAGGAATATTTTTTGGAGGAAAACCCAGACACTGTTATTTGTCTGCAAAGGTTTTGCAGTGAAAACAATCCGATGGTACAGTATTTGTTTTAAAAACTCTAAAAAGTTTGCACTTTCGATGTTTAATGCAATTGAATTCGGTGAACTGATTCACGTCCGATCGTTTCAGTGTTCAATCATGCGGTATTTTAGTTCCGCTTATATGAAAAGAACAATGTTTTCGTGGATAACAAAACGCCATTGTGCTATTGTTATTGTTACATGTCTTTTTCAAGCATTCTCTGCTGTGTTATGATATAAAATAGCATTAAACCTACGTGTAAATAAGATTCTTTTTGAATGTATGGGAAGACCTGGTATACAGTGATGTTTCATAAAATCAACAAGATCAGTCACCTTGCTTTCATCATCCGAGAATCAAAGCACACCGTTTATTCCCGCTGTAATCCCTAAGCGATGATAGAGAATAGAGNAACTTATCAGTAATTTACTGGTCTACTAAGCTATTCATGGTAGGGATCAGAATATCGCTTATCGGAGAAGGCAAGATCGAACAGTAGATCAAAATACAAGAGGCAAATTTTAATCTGGGATTGTTTTTATATTTCGGATATAATCCTTTTGGTTGTAAAAGTTATGGTGATCATTTTACAAAGCTATAAAAACTGGTACGCTTGAAATTAAAAAATTACACTTGTTAAGCATATGTTCGAACAAAACTTTCAGTAGCTTCGAAGATAGGTTCAGTTTTACAAATTTTTACCGCAATTCATCCATGTCAACTGTTTTGTCATATTTGCCTATTTGAGTAGGTGGAACACTTGAGTTGAGAAAGTGCACTCTCGTGTTTTGACGACATTCTATCAAGTATCATTTTTCAAAGTCGTTCTGCAATGGTAAAATCAATGCAAACTGAAGTCAGTGAGTCATTTGGTTGTTTGAGTGAATGAGGAGATTATTTGAGGACAGGAAACTTCGACTATTTTATGATATCATTGGCGAGCATTTCGGTGGGTGTTTGTTTGCTAGTTTACAAGTCATTTCTGGTTTTTTCGCACATCTCAAAATGATTCTACTTATTTTATAATGATGTCAACCAGCGAATCACTCACTCATATTAACCAAACGACGCATGGTCTAACAAAGTCATTCGAAGCTCGATTCTGATTCATATTACAGCTGATATGATCTCTTATTATCATTTGGTTTTGTGTTCAAAATTCCGTGTAATCGAGCGATACTTTATGTTCAGTGTGATGATGATATGTGGAATGATTTGAAGTTGTTCCGTATTAACCGAAATTACTTTTGCCGTTTATTGTTGTGAAATTTTAGGGTTATTTGCACACTATTCATTCGACTCGGTGTCTCCGTTCGACTCGATGTCCGCGTTTGGATGTTTGGACAGGTAATAAATTTTATGACATTGTGTGATACAATGACAACTTGATGGTACTTTTTTTCAAGGAAGTCAGGGATATTTCGAAAATTTTTTGGCTTTTGTTGATTTGTTTTTATGAACATTTTCACGCTCTCAGTGGATGATTTATTAATGAGATAGATGCTTTTGAAACCGGTTGGTGAGGTGTTTGCTGAAGAGAGTAGAGCGTGAGCGTTTTGAAGTGAATTGTGAAACCGGTTGGTGAGGTGTTTGCTGAAGAGAGTAGAGCGTGAGCGTTTTGAAGTGAATTGATCGGTGTTTCTCGGCATGCACCGTTCCAGTTTGCGATTTGCAGTTGCTGCTGAATGTGTGTGCAACAATGTTCTGGCGATCGGCTTTTGTTATTGCTATGCAGCTTTTAATTGCCAAATCTGATACGACTGAATCAATTGACACAGAATTAGATGATATCAATGGTCACTGTATGCAAAAGGTATGGATGGTTCTTAATTATCTGATAACTTATTTAGATTCTTAAAATAAGTATTGATTTGTAAAATAGAGTGGAGTGAAATTGTTCGTTATGAATACTATTGCTTTGTTATTTTCGAGCGAAACTTGATCCGTTCTAAATTTGAGGACGATAATGCGGCTGGTTTAAGGAATTTGAATTATCTGGAAGTATTTCTTTTTTGGTTTTTCAGGCAGGCCTCAGAGATTGTGCTGTTTTCAATAAGTGTTGTGATTTCTTTTGTCGCAACGGCGATCAACAACATTTTTGCCTGTCACTGCTCGGTCAGATTCAAGAGAAACAATCTTATTGCGGATGGTTAGCGTTTTAAGTTTTAACTTGTGTCATTTATCATGCTTGCCTTGCAATCTCCTCCACACAGAAACATTTTCTCTGAAATTTCACCGAATTGTTCTAAAAATTTCCTGATATCGAATACTCTCTTAAGTGTTCACGTCCTATTCTAGTATTTCAGTACGTCCGGTGTTGAAGCGATCAGCAGGAGACGTTCATCAGCCGGAATCGATCCCACAATAGCGGTGATCGGATTGTTCATGTGTGATTACATCTTGATTGGTCTCGTCATTTAATGACTGAACGAGTGGGATCATTCATCCGTTTGCATGCAGTTCAATACGGATCTTTGGAATACGTCAGTTTCTGATCGTCACCTTTAGAGGGACATTTTTAGAGGTCATTCCGGATCGCTTGTCATCGAATCAATCTCGGACCATCGATTGGCTCAGTTTTCGATGTACCAGCGTCAGTGAGCTGGCATCGCAGCACCTGGGACATATCGTTTTCATTTGCTTTTTGCCCTACTTTCATTCCAATCAAGCATTCAACCATTCTGAAAACCAGTTCTTTTGAAAAGAGGCCGAAAAAAATAATTGCCTTCCGACGACTTCTGTTACAGCTGTGCTCATATTGTCATTACGAACTAACATTTCGAAATTAATTAACTCTGCAAAATGTTCATATTTCTAACGCGAATTTCTTCTCTTTAATTGTAATGTACTGAATTGATGGCATGCAAAATTGTTGACTGCCTATACCATAGCTGAATGACTTACAATTAGGCCACTTTATTGTTGATGTTGTTCGAGAAATTTTGTGTTTCCATTTCGAAGAGTTTCTTTTTCACGTATATTCATCGTCAGAATGTATATTTTTGGTTCGTTTTTTATTTGTTTGTTGTTGGCATTAATTGTTGATTGGTTTTATATTCGTTAATTGTTTTGATTGTTGCAACCTTATATTGTTCTCGAATACGGGTTATTAATAAAGCGACTGCTCATTCTTTTATGATTTCGTTGAGATTTNACAGAGCATCTCGCTATATGAAGGGTATAAAAATTTCGTAATCGGCAATCATTTCAATTAGTCGATATGTTCATTCGTAAAAGTCATCATACTGTTAACTGATAATTGTTAACCAAGTAACTTAAAAATTAATTCTTTATCGCAACTGATAACTGATTTCATCATATGTGATAAGCAAATATAGTTTCGTTGACTGTCATCGAGATAGTTTTGCAATTGCATTAAGTGTAATGTAAAGCAGCAGGTGTTCAGTGTTTGATAGTAACGACTGAGGTGTTTCGGTTTGTTTTCGTGGGAGGGAGTGTGCTTGCGCTGATTACGCGACCATTTTCACCTGTTCAAATTGGTCGCCAAGTCGAGCGACTGCCTCTTCCTGTGTTATGTGCCCGTCGGCCGAAGACGACGAACGGGCGAAGAAGAAGAGGAAGTGATTGGATGACGGCAACGATGACAGATCTTGTTCGTTTGATGTTGATTGTATTTTTGTTGCATTCATATCGATTCGTCGATTGTTATCAGTTCGAATGCGATGGTCGAGTGATGCCAACATTCCCAGTAAGGAGTTTGTTTAACTCACTGATTGCTTTATCAACTCATTTCGGTTACTTCATTCATTCGTTGTCACTTCATTTTGATGACATTCATTCCTAGAGATAGAAATTGTTCCGTTTCTGTTTCGTTCAAAATACCTGACCCACCAATGAGCATGCTTTCAAGGACCGGGGAACTCGATGGGCTAGATAACTATGGAATGCTATTTCTTCGAAACTTTCTTTGCATGTTTCTTGAGCCGCATAAGAATGTGCCATGGGTTAAACAAAATCAACTGGTGACCGTATCCCATTAGCGTATACTTTCAAAAAGTTTCCCGCAAATCAAACGTGTGTCTATCCCTGCTGGGTCGGTCACATTCAATTCACGGCCTAATCATTGAGTTTGTCTCTCTTTTTCATAACCTGAGGAGCGATTTTTGCACGGAACATGAGTTAGTAATGCATGATACTTTCTTTAAGTTCTACCTAAATTCAACCGTCTACCTAAATTCTCAATAAGCATCTTCGGAACTTAAGTCTTGCCTACGAGCTAGCTTTCTTGCAATTGCCATGGAATTGTGCTGGGAAATGATCGACTTTGTTTTTATTTTGCATTTTTTGTGATTGAATGCAACAGCAGCGATTGAAACGGAGAGAAATATAGCGATTGAAAGGCGATATAACTAACAAAAGCAAAAAACTTTGCGTTTGTACATCTAGTCTACTGCATGATTAATCTGTTTTGTATCCATTCGCAAACACTATCAGCTAGTGTTCTCTCTTCAGCAAATCCCTATCCGAATGCACTCAGAATCGATAAGCTGACCCATTCATACATCCATCCATCCACCCCATCTCTGCAACGTCTGATCTCTTCATTCATCCATCTGTCTATAATAGATCTATAGCATATAGCATCATAATTATCACCTTTCTCACCGAATCCACCACGTTGCAGAGTACATCTTCATTGTTGCAGTCTTCTTCTTCAATGTCCTCCGCTCCAATGTCAAGCCGTTCCGAATACACATTTCCAGATGGCTTCATTTGGTCTGCTGCAACTTCAGCATTTCAAATTGAAGGCGCTTTGAATGAAGATGGTAAGTGGAGAAGAGTAGAGAGATTTCTTTTATTTCATTCTGATTTTTCTTCAGTTTCTTTCCCAGTCCCTACTCATCATTTCAGTCATTCTCAACTTGCTCGTTGTGCATTCGCAAGCAGCAAACAATGACGGTTATAAACCAATGCCCGATGATATGCAGCAGAGAATTGCATATTATTCTTTTAGATGATACTATTTGACCGATGTTGTTATCCGTTCGCCTATGGTGGATACAATTTTGCAGCCACCGTCGAATAAAGACAATAATAAATGAATTTCATTAGCAGATATGCATCTATCCATCCACCCACTACTATAATCTAATCCCTTATCGTTGCGAATAACTAAATACACACAAACATTTACATGCACATCTGCGATGTAGTTTCAATTCAGTTTCAGTGCGACGACGATGATTTTAGTGCGTGCCTTCTGTACAGCCATTAGGTTTGCAAAGGGATAATGGTAATGTGAATTTTACGAAGAAGTTTGGAATTTTGTGTGATAAATTTTCAAAGACACTGAATTTCCCATTGACCATTGACGTTTGAGTAGAGCATTGTCAGAGCAAATCGCATTCGCAATCAATGGCTTGCCAACTGAATGATTACGTTTTGAT